GCTGTCCGTGGTCTCAGGAGAGTTGCCGTGAGCCGGCTCGTCTGCCTGGCAGTGCGGCTGCCTGAGAAGCCGTTGGCCTTCCCACTGGGCATCGCTTCACAGCTGGGATTGAAAGAACCCATTTTGTAATAAGCCGTGGAGATTTTTCCGGTTACACGGCCTCAGATTCACACGGCTAGTCCATTATTGCTAACAATTTTAGAGAAGTAGGTGTTTTTTCTTTCAAAAAAAAAAAAAAAAAAAAAAGGGAAGTGGTCCTGTTTGCATTTGTTTCATGGAGAAAAGTCAAAATGGCTCTTATATACAGAAAGAAAAAGGACACCCTACACTTTATAAAAGTAGGAAACATAACAGATTCGGAGCTTTAATAGCGAAGTTCAGCAGTTGGGCTTTTATTTAAATGCCCCCCTCTCTGTAACGTTGGTATTGCCGGCTTTGAAGTAGCCACCGCACCCTGAAAAGCCACTAAGCTTCCCTGTGTTGTGACAAGTCTCTGGATATGAAACGTTTCTGGTCTGGGGAGGTCCAGCCTGACTCACAGTTTCCGGGTGTCTCCGACTGTGACGGTATCAGCTTTCTTTTGGAAGCTTAGCTGCATCTTCTAAATACCATTTACCATATAAATGAAAACAGACTTGCTTGGAGAGATGGCTGATTCCAGAACTAGAGCAGAGAAAATATGAGGTGGACCTGGGGCAGCTTGATCGAAGGAAATTGAGTCATGTCGAAAGGACACTGGAACCCTTTTGAATGGAACCACAGTGGTCAAATTTGGGACAATATGAACATCAAAAACAATGATGGCTATTGATTATTACACAAGTCAAAAAAAAAAAAAAAGAAAAGAGAAAGGTGTTTTTGGGGAGTGGAAGGGTGGGGATACTTTAAACCAGGTAATAAATGTGAAAGGAATGATAGAATTAGAAAAATCACTATTTTGCAGTCTCAGGTAGAATTGAAACAAGAATTACCGATGTGTGCTGAATCCATGGTGAAAAATAATTGGGAAATAGGACAGCCACATGGTACCAAATTTATCACCCCCAAGCTTTTCTTTTGTTTGTTTTTCTACTGCTATAGAAGGGACATGTACCTTTACAACAGAGAGACCTGGCAGTAACCATCTTAACCAAGTGATTAGTGTCAATAATAATAGAGTAACAAAACATTTTGTGTCTTCTGATGTAATGAAATAGGAAGTTCACAGTATGAAAATATTTTTGCCGAAAAGTGCTTAGCTTGTATCTAGATTCAGCTTTTGGTTCACAGGAAATACAAGTGATGGAGGAACAGATTTAATAATACCATGAAACACAATGAGGCACATGCAAAATGTGGCACATTACATAAGACAACTAGTCTGGAAGAAGAGGGGTGGCGGGATCTTTTACATGAAAAGATACTGCAGTGATAAAGCAAGCAACTGCAATGGGTAAAACGTCATCGGATTCTAGATCGGGGGAGGCAAACAGTGTAAAAAGACATTGGGTGAGCAATTGAGGAGATTTGCATATGGAATGGATAATAGGTAACATGGAATTATTAATTTTCTTCGGTGTGATCACAGCATTGTGGGTATGTAGGGAAGTATCTTTATTCCTAGATGTACGTTGAGTCGTTGAGAAGTGAAGTGCTGTTACGCCTGCCAGATAAATTTTATAAAGAGTGGGCGCACGCAGTCACACATGGCAGTATGCTGGAGCTGTTGAGTAGGTGGAGTGTTCATTGTAGTCTTTCAACTTTTGGTTTGAGTTTTAAAAAAAATCCAATAAACTGAAATAAAAATTCAACATGATGAACATGAAGCAAAATCTTGGGGTGGGCAGGCAGGCAGGCCGCGCGGCCCAGCCCTGCCCAGGGCTTCTCTGACGGCCTTAGGGCCCGTCTCCTCCCGCCCGCTACTCTGCTTCGGAACGTGCATGGGGCCGGACGCCCATGAGCATCGAGTGATGTGTGATCCCAGTGTTATTGGCCAAATTTTAGAGACCTGCGAAAATCTCTAGATAAGATTAATAGAGAAGCTTGGGGCAGACCTTGTCTTACTCATTTTTAGCATTTCCAGGGCCTGGAACATCTTACACATTCAAAAACTGTCGGCCAAAATAATGCGTCGATAAAAGGGTTACCAAATTTGAGGATTGCTTGGGAGAGCGAGAGCAAACCAGTGACTCTTTCCAAATCCAGGGACTATTTGTGGAATGCAATAGCACTGCACTAGTAAAGGGGCAAGTGAGGTCAAGGTTGGTGTTGGACAGAGGGGAAGGCCTGTTTTTAAACCCTCTCTTATGTGCACGCAACGACTCCACTTCATATAATACATGTATGTGCTTTACTTTCAGTACTAATACTTGCTTCTTGAATCAAGGACCAGAGCCCTTGAGTGGAAGTCTACTGTAATTTTTCCTACACGGGGGGCATTTGAGTTTGATGAGGAGTCTTCAGAGGCGGCAGGTGCAATTACGCTTTGTTCCTTGGTGAGCGATGAGTCGGGCACTTAATTATGTAAAAAATATGGCAAGAGAGCAGTTGCAGGATCCCCAAGAGAGTAATTACCATCTATCTTGGCTGAACGCAAGGCTTTTAATCTGTAAATAAGTGATTCTGTGTGGAAGGGCTACACGCAGAGCGCTTCTTCGTCATGAAGGTTCCGGGTGAGCTTTTCAAAGTGAGAGCCGCGACTGCGCCCGCACGGCGGCCGCCACCTTCTGGGCTTCCGAGGGCTCCGGATGCTCCCCCTGCGGTTTTAACCCCTCCTGAAATATTTAAGTGGCTGAGAAGGATTCCTGTAAAGGGTAAAATCTTATGTCTGAGTTAAGCCCATGAAAAATCTGAGTGTTTCAAATGGAGAGGAAGTAAAATGTGCCTCCTGTGAAATAAAGAACAAAAACCAAGATGAGAAACCAAACAACAGAACCTCGGTGATGCTTAAAGGAAAGAACTCAGAGTTGCAATCGTCAGCTAGTGGGTCTCTTACCAGAGGTGACTGATTTTATTTTTAGGTGTGCCATTGCAGGTAGTATTTCCAAAAAGAACTCATTCGTTTTGAGCGTATGTGTGCACTTTGCTCAGGTGGATCTGAGTCTGTGCAGTAAGGGAAGCAAATTCTGTTGGTTTGTGAAGGTGTCCGTGGCGTCTGCCTTGCCTCTTGGCTGTGGTGTTGATGAGCTGAGTGGGCTCTTCGCCAAGGCCACCAGCTTTGCCACTTGACGACCAGATGACCCCACTCCTTTGCCAACTCAGACTTCATTTGGGTGACTGTCCCTCTCTCTTGCACGACTTACTTTCCCCTTTCTACCAGGTTACTCCCGTCAAAATAGGAACATGTTGGAACGGCTCCATTGTTTTTAACAAGCCCTCCCTCTGCCTCTTTCTCTCTCTACCTCCTCAAGGCTCAGTTCCCCTTTGTGGCAAAATTCAAGAGCCTGTATTTTATCTTCGCTTTTTCTCTTTTCCTTGTCTCTTGAACCAGCTTCAAGCAGCCTCTCGTGCCAGTCCTCCACACAGAGCCTGCTCCTGTCAGGGAGTATCCGCGCCCTGCATTCACACTGCCAGGTTCGAATCCTATTTGACCAGCAGCAGCAGCTGACACAGCTCCTCATGCCTTCCTAGTAACGCCTGGTCTTTCCTTGGCTCCAGGGCAAACCTGTTCTCCTGGTGGTTCTCCTTTCTCACTGGCCACTCTTCTCAGGCTCTTTGTGGCTTCTTCCTCTTCCTGGTCCCAGGTGCCCTCCTCTTCTCTGCCTTCTTTCAAGGTCATACCACACAATACCATGGTTAAAATGTTGTGTATACTGGAAAGACCCCCAAATGTACACCTGGAGGACACACCTGTACCCTGGACTCTAGACTGCTATACCTAGTGGCCTGCTGCCCCTCATCCCATTGGACGACAAACAGGCATCGCACCTTTAACACAGTCCAGTGTGACACCTGGTCTCCCCATGGTTCTCTCTCACCCGGATGATGGCCATAGCCTTCTATCTGGTTTGCCCGTCTTGATCCTCACCCAAGCCCTATTTATTTATTCATTTATTTATTTCAAATTCTCACCTGAGGATATGGTTATTGATTTTAGACAGAGAGGAAGGGGGGAGGGAGGGAGAGAGGGAGAGAAAGAGGGAGAGAAACATTGATGTGAGAGAGAAGCATCAGTCGGTTGTCTCCCATACGTGCCCTGACCAGGGACTGAGCTTGCAACCTTTTGATGTGTTGGATGATGCTCCAACCCACTGAGCACCTGGCCAGGGCACTCGAGCTCCTTTTAATCTATATTCAAAACAGCCTGAAGGACCCTTTAAAAACATCAGATCACATCCCTCCTCTGCTCCCAGGCCTCCAGTGACTGCCTGTCTTTGTCAGAGTAAAAGCCTGTCCAACAAAGTCCTTCATCCTCGGACCCCATTACCTCGCTGCTCGCCTCCCCCGCTCTTCCGGTCATGCCCGCTGCCTTCGCCACATCAGCCGCTTCCTCAGACACCCTCAGACACGCTGCCTCAGGGCCCTGCCGTGGGATGCTCCCTCAGGCAGGAGGTCTCTGTCCTGTAACTCTTCCTGGCTTGCTCGTCACCACCTCAGATCTCTGCTCATCGGTCCCCTTTGTACTGACGCCCTCTCTAACCATCCCACTCAAGCTGCCCCCGTCCCACCCTGACTGGTACGCCAGAGCCCTCCTCCTCATGGTGTGGTTCTCTATTGCATTTACCGCCGTATGAAAATAAAAATGGTTCCTTTTTGTTGCTAGTTTGTTCTTGTCTGTCTTCTCTCAGAAGAGCGTGAGTTTCATGAGGACAGACATTTTATCTGCTGTGATCACAGCTGTGTCCCCTGTCCCCGAGGGAGAGTGGCTACTCTGTAAATATTGCTGAAGGAGTTATCAAAAAGCAGCCTCAAAAGCCGATGGGTTCTCCCTCGTCCTTTGTTAAGGCATTCTGGGTGTGACAGAGGATAGAAAGCGTGCAGAATGACTCATTCTATACTAACAGCTGTTTCCCCTTCCTCAGTTCCTCTGTTTGAAGAACATAAGGACATTCCTCACGGCCTGTTGCGAGACGTTTGGAATGAGAAAGAGCGAACTCTTTGAGGCATTTGACCTATTTGATGTTCGTGACTTTGGAAAGGTAATTTTACATTTTATTTTTTCATGTATTTTTTATTGGAGACTACTTAATCACATACTTATTGTTTCTTAGCTTGTTAACATAGGACCTGCAACGTAAGTGGTCTACATAGCTGAATCAGGTTGTTAAATTTCACATAAGTGGCTTAGCCAAAAACAAAGCAAAACAAAACAACAAAAACAAGAACAAAACCCCCCAAACAAAAACCCCAAATCACACTAGCAATGGTCTCGATGAGATTAGAATGGTTTCTTACTGAAAGTAGTGTAAGGGGAATCTTTTATGCAGAAGTACCTTCTCCTGCTGATTACGGAGGAGGATAGGATCACTGTTTTCCATTCTGTAGGTAGGGGGTTGGGCCCTCATGCCTGAGGACCAGTCCTTCCCCTCCAGTCTTCTCTCTGCCCAAAAGACTCCTAATTTTTGGAAGTTGGGAATATTTTGTTGCCCCTTCTCTGTTTTGACTTGGGAAAAAGATTGGAGAAGACGAATCACTGAAGTGTTTGAGGTTGTTCAATGACTGCTTTGCTAGGATTTCAGCAGACATGTGCTGGATTTCCAAGACATTTGTCACATGGAAATATTTTAATGTTTATGGTTATTGTGTGTATACCAAGCACTTGCATATAATAAGTGACTGAAGTAATCCTTTCAGACATTATGGTCATTTATTTGGTAGTCATTGGGCAGAAAATTAAACTCCGTGCATGTAAGGAGCCATAAAAGGTGGTCTTTAGTCTCTGCTGATATAATTGCTTTATGAAACTAAGAACATTAGTAGGCGCCGCGGTGGGGGGTGAGGAACTAAACGATACTGAGAAGTTTGCCCTTACTCATATAATTAAGGTGCTTGTATCTGAAAAAAAAAAAAAAAAAAAAAAAGGCCCTTTGAGAATGACACTTTCCTTGATTTCGAAGATGGAATATTTTGGTTAAAAACTAAAAATCCAAGCAGTGGGTTGGTTTGCTTGGCAATGGGCATAAATAGCACAAACTTGAAACAACCATAAGGAAGTGGATGCTGAGGTGCAGCAAGATGAGGAAGCCACTTTGCCTGGTGGCGGGGGGGACCCCGGGTTCTTGACCCAGAGTCGCTTGGTGACCCCCTGGAAGTCCCCAGTCCTCCTGACCACCGCCCGACCCCCTGCCAGCCGCAAGCCTGCACAAAACGAGATGGGCATAAGAACGCGGTTGTGAAGGTTCCCTCTTCCTCTGGCAAACTGTGATTTGACTGCCGTGAGACCCAAAACATGTGCGAAAGGATAACATGGGATAATAAGTACAAGGAACTGAAAACCAAGCCTCCTTGCAAGGAGGTGGTAGCACATCTGTCTGTGGCCACAAAGATACACAGGGATCCTGTAGTGGCCTAGGTGAGGAAGACAGTTCTCTAGGCTGTTGACATTGAAAAATGCCCTAGCAGCTTAAAAAGATAATTCTTGTTTTTACCCTTTGATCCTTTCCCCTGTTATTTTTTTTTCAATCTATAATTTACCTTTCTTTTCACCCTCTCTTTTGGGAAATGAAAAATAGAAGTGAATTGGGGAAATGAAAAATGGGGAAAAAAATGGCCTTTCCTTCATAAAGCTTTTCAAAGAGCTTTTCCTATTTCATCTGAGTTTGCAAGAAATGGTGTTGACCAAGACTGGGAAGTCCTATCGGTTCTTCAGAAACCCATGGCCTTGGTCCAGTGGAATAACATTGCGTGCTGGGTTGATGAGACCATGGGAGCTTTGTAGAGGACGAGATTATAAAAAGTTGAATGCAATGGAATAAGCTGTAGGCTTATCGTGGGTGGATGTATTTCTGGCTCCTTAAAAGATTTGGGCAGCGATATATCTGAAACAGAATGAAACTTGGGACTGTGGTTGAGAACTCGATTGTTTACTTACCACGTTCAATTCATCGCGTACACTTTTGCCATGGCCAAGACTGGTGCAGCTCGCTCGTCAGGACGGCCTGAGACCTGCACAGGCCCCCAAGGATGAAAGAGCACAGGACGCTGCTCCACCATTCAGCAGCATCACTGCTCGGAAACATCGTCACTGGAAGCAAAACCGCCGATACCCCCCGCTTACCGAGCACTTTCAGTCTAGAGGGCATCTTTTCCATCTTTGTATGTATACTATTTTTTCCTCCTCAGCACAACCCTAGGAGGTGTAAGTACTTAAAGTTTCCTCTTCATCCACAGGAGAAAGCCAGGGCCTCGAGCCACCTGTCTGGTAGGGATCAGGGCAGTGGTTTGAACCCAGGTGTGGCTGGTTCTCCACTGCCGTGTCGTCGTGTGGACCTTCGCACAGCAGGTGCCATGGGCCAGCGCGGTCCCGGGGGCTCTGCACACGCTGACCCCACTCCCATGTCCGTCCCACCACCTAAGTGCTATTACTGTCCCTGTTTGCAGAGCCTAGACTCTAAGCAGCGGCATTGGAGCAGTTCATGCAGCTCTTAATTTTTAAGGTAAAAAAACATGAATAGAGTGTTAATTTACAGACAGAACAATCCTTGATGCTGTGAATATACATTTTAACAGCATGTTGACAGGTGAGTTTATTTCTCTCCATTCCTTGGCGTTTCACTAAATTTCAATGAACTTAAAATGAGAAGACCCTGTATCTGCGCTTCCCTCCGCTTCAATGCACATAAATAGAGACCCACGGATTCATGTGTATTTGGCATCTTTTTGCATAGGAATATATTAATTGCAACACCAGCATCTAATGTTTTTACAGCATTTTGAAGCTTTCAGAGAGCTTCCTATCACTTGATTTTCATAATAGTCTTGCAGAGGAAGCAAGAAAGCCAGTGGGGAAGCTGAGAGACGGGGAGGTTCAGCAGGGACGCCAAGGGCTGCCGGCGGAGGAGCGGAGCAGGGCGTGCGGCCCCGGCCCCTGCTTCCCCCGTCTGCCAGCGTGTGCGGGCGCGCGGGGAGCACGACGGACTCCTCGGAGGAAACCAAAGCGTGTCACTTGGCATCTAACTGCACGGTGTCTCAGAGAGAGAGGAGGAAGGTAGGACACGGCACGAGTCCGCACAGGGCGATGGAGCAGGGGAGCAGCGCGAGGGGGCGCCCGCAGATTCTCTCGGTACACACACCGTGGACTTTTAGCCACGCCTTCTCCCCTTCCCGCACGGTGGCGCATCCTCCCTAATCCTTGGCCGGGCTCTCCCTCTGTGTGCGGTTCAGGAAATCTGCCTTGAATCCTAGGCTTTGATAGGGATGCACCTTCTTTTGGAAATCGGGGAAAATCCTGGGCAAGTGCTGATCAGCACAGATGAATGCTAGTTCGCATTTCGGGTGTGAGGTGGCGGAGCGCACACATTCTGGGCGCCCCGCGAAGTGCTTTGGCTCATCGTGCCTTGGGCAGTCACCGTTAATTTCCAGCAGTGAGCTCTTTCCCCGTATTAATAGGGTATTCATTTCAGGTCAAACTCCAGGGAAGTGAGTGAGAGTAGTTCTGAACATTTGCTATCCATTGATTTTTTTTTTTTTTTAAAGCCACACGGGGTTGGGGAAGGAGCTTAGAAACCCGAACTCACGGAGGAGTCCGCAGAGACCTTGAGGTTGTGCACCTCCCACTGGGGATGTGGGCCACGCTGAGGAAGGTTTCTGACGCGGGAGGGTCCCTGTCCGAGGCTGCTCGCAAGTGGGAGGCGACGTGCTTTCTAGAGCCAAAGAGAGTCGCACCTGGCCAAAGGCAGTTCCCGCTGATGTCAGCAGCAGCTGGGTAGTTTCAGTGTGTTACGGTTCAGGCCAGGTCCTGTCAAAGGAATACAGAGCGGCGACGTCAGGGCACAGGTGAGAACGTTCCTGAGGGGAGGCGGTGTCCTGTTTCAGTTCAGACCATGGTTTCTGAGTTGGACCGGAGTTTGAATTCTGGCTCTGTTTCTTATTAGTATGTGATCTCGGGCAAGTTGTGTAACCTTTTTGAATTTCAGTCTCCTCACCTATAACTTGAGGTTAGAGAAGAAACGAAATAGTGGATGTACAGGGCTTAGGGGTATGTAGAGCCGATGCAGGTCTAATATTGGGAAATATGAGCGGTGACGATTCTTTATGTTACTGTTACCACAACTGTCAGTACTGGTGTCCGTTGGTTTTAGGTTCAGAGGTCAACACAGGGGTTGGATTTTGAGTGGAGTGCAAGTGCTGATGATACCAGGGAAGCGAGACCGGGAAGTCAGCTTCGTCGTTGGTCACGCGCTGTGGCATCCTCTGCTCCATTCTGCCCCGCCTGCTTTCTCCCTCCTTCTGCGGCCTTGACCTGCCTGTGAGAAACCATCTTTTTCAATCACGCCGTTTGGCTGGTTGAATCAGTTGTAGTATCCCATCGCTTCGGCTCCAGCGGTCGGTGTGAGGGTGAGGCAGGTCGCTCAGCAGGTCCAATAGGACGCGCCGGGACCTCTGTGCGGGCAGATTTGGTTGGTTCCTCTCCTGCGATGGAAGGGTGTGCACCTGAGGCTCAGCGCGGCTGCGGCGTCTGGGGTCCACGCGGAGCTTCACAACAGACCCGGCTCAGCGGGAGCAGAGCTCAGGAGGACCCCGTGGGAGGCTGGGATCAGGCTGTGCCCAAGGCCAGGTACATATATCCGTAGGGTTTTTTTTTTTTCTTTTTTCTTTTAATGACAACAGCCAGTTTCCTTTCGTTCTCTCAACCAAGAGCGAGAGAAAGCTACGGGATCCACCTTGTTTTGTCAGATGGTTTCAGCTGTGTAGATGTGGGAACCTTCTGTTCCCAAAGTTCCACACCACACGGAGGCCATTCACAGACAGGGGAGGAGATAGGAAGACAGTGTCCAGGGACATCTCTGTGGTGCAGCGTGTCAGCAGTTACATAGAACGGCCGCCCCGCCTCACGGCAGGTGCTTGCTGTTCCCCACCATCGGCTGCCGGGGGCCTCTGGGGGGCTCTCGGAGCCTCCTGACCGCCTCCCATGTCGTCTGTGCACCACAAGGATGAGAAGTGGGCACGCGCACCTCTGCAGACCGAGACGTCTCTTCCT